TGTCAGACAGTATCTAATTAAGCATATTTTTTAACAAGACGCTCTCACATTTTAAAATGGAATGGATTCAAGAATGGAGAGAGGTTCTGTGATGTTACTTAAAAGATCTTGTTTATGGGTAAAGAGGAAGCAAATCTTACATAGATAGGTAAAGACAAGAATTTTTTTGTTAGTATAATAAAAATCTTAGTCTAATGCAAGAATTATCATTAGCCTAGATCTAATTACTACAAAAAAAAAGAATAATAATGCAGTTAAAGTACTTGTTTACAGAAAAAGTCACAATAATAGTAATATTATGGTTAAAATTGTGACACACACAAGCGCCCTTAGTTTCTATTCCTTCCCCTAGCGATTGCTCCTCTGGGCATTCAGATCAGTAGCTTCAGGCTGCTGGAGGGAATAACACCAACAGTCATCAGCCAGTGGCTTCCTTTCTTGGGAGAAACACGATGCTAATTGCAGTGGTTTCTTCTTCCTCTCCCCAGGATCCCCTTTGGGTCGTTTTATTATGTTTGCTAACAGGCTTTTACACCTTTCTTTTTCTTCACTGGTTTGCAGCTTCAGGTTACATCCGAGTTTACCATATACAGTGCCATTTATGTATGTTAGATACTCTTTCTTTGATCTCTTTGTTACCCCTAAAATCAATTTTATCAAGCCAGGTCTGTGTTTATTTTTTTTTTAAACTAAGCATCAGTGAGTTGCTTATATCCACAGGTTCTCCAGTACCCAACCCGTGCCCCGTCTGTCAACATGTAGCCCTGTCACACAGCACTGCTGTTGCTGGCAACAGCCATAAGCTTTGCACTGAGTTTGCATGGCCTCTGGACCGAGGCTTGCCAGGCCCGCTTTGTTTGAGCCCGTCCTCACCTGCCTGCAGCTTTGTTTTGCTTGGCACAACTGCGACAGCAATTTCTTGAATTGACTGTCTGTACCTAATTTGCTTTACTCTCTTTTGTCTTTGCACAGTACAACTGCAGTTTTATGTAGACAGCAGCAACAAACAGTTGTTCTAGGTGGGATGAGGTATTTAGTACTCTTACACAATGACATAGGGCGGAGAAACACGGGCCTGGTACAACAGCAGAGACCTCGCGATGTGGAGACTGAGGATGAAGGACTGCAGGCAGGGGCGATAAGGCGTTGTGCGAGAGTTATGTGGATGACACAATGCCAATAAAACAGGAGCCTAAAGCATGGTGCAAAATTGTGCAAAGATGCATCAGCAGAGGCAGGAGGGGGAAATGACCCTTCCCTAGCCTATGCATGATAACCAGGTCAGCCTATACTAGCCTGAAATATTCTCCTTATCGTAGATGCCTCTGGATTTGAACAAAGTGAACGCTGGGAGCTATTAGGAGCTGTTGCCACATTCTCCAAAACACAATGTAATGCATGGCACAGAGCCAGGCTGAAAAAAGCAGCTTAGTGACTGTTAAGTTTCTATTTCCCTACTGGCCGCTCTTTCGCAGATTCAGACATAAGATGAAGTTTCACTTTCAGGTTCCCGTTAAATTACTCACAGATCACATGAGGGCTGGAGCACATAAAAGGGAAGTCATAACAACAGTGAGCAGCACCCCTTCGACTTTGAAGCTACCTGAAGACAAGTGAGCAGAGAAGGAAAACCATGAGGTAAGCAAGCAACCCAGTCCCTGAAAGATGCTTTTTTGCTATGCCATGGGAAAATAATGTTTATTATTTACATAAACGTAAGCAGTGAGGGACGTCGGGGATCCAAACAGCAGAAAATATTTTACAGAATATTTGCTGGAAGAATCAAAATAAGGATGCTATTGAATATTGTAATGTTATTGTTTCTCCGACAAGGGCCAGTCTCTGTGAACAGAATGGACAGTCAGAAAAACTGTGTGCATGCAGTTCAGGGATGAAATCCAGGCTGCAGCCGTAGCTGGTGCCCAGCCCAGCTGATGCATTTGAGAATTTACTTTCTGATCTCTATGATTGTGAGGACCAGCAAATAGGGCAGTGCAGGTTATGGCCTGCAGCTTGGAGCGTAACAGGGGGGGTAACGTTTTCTGAAGACTGTCACACACGCACAGAGGCGCGCACACACACACACACACACACACTCTCTCTCTCTAATAGGGCAAAGCCAAGATGTTTATGACAACTGTGGAAATTGCATTTACCAGTTATGTGTTGAGCTAAGCTAAACTGTGTTTAATCTGCATCACAAACCTGTTTTTGTGACGTTCATGAATATTCATTTTCCACAAATGTCCTTTCATTAATTACTATCCACTGTTGTTTTCAGCCATGAAAACATGGCCATTGTCATGGTTCTCAGCTGAGGCAATAAAAAACAACACACGTTTCATTTTGAGTTGAATGGGACTACTTAAATGCTTCAAGGTAAAAAAATGGGAAGCAATTATTTGTTCTGTGGTATTCACCTGTAGCCAAAGGTTTCTAACAAGATAGTGATAACAACAGGAACTTTCACTTCCCCTTCATCCCAGAAAAACTGTAATTACCTCACATACAGCTTTCTAATTAGGAACTATTGTTAATACCAATCAAAACCATCAGTCAGGCAGAGGAGATTATTTGACAAAGGCAAATAAGTCTGTAAGACAAACATTGTCTGTAAGACAAAGCATTAACAGCATTTATAAATACCTTTTTTGTCTGACCTTCCTCCAATACCTTTGTGTCAGATGGTTTGGGTGGAAATGTGTATTCAGTGTCGCTTTCCCCAGTGTCCTTCCCACTGTCCCAGAACCTAGGGGTAGGTTCCTGTAAGAATTGCTTCCTGAGTCCTCCTTGATTTGCCTCCTCATAATTTTCCAGTCTTTCCACTCACACACGTACCACGTAGGCTGTTGGACCCTCTAGGTTTTATAGGAGGGAGACCATTATGCCTGGTTTAAAAACAAGAGTAGCAAAAAGCAAACGGAGTGTAAGTTTTTCTTTGATTTCTTCTAGTACCATTTCCAAGAATTCCTTGAAGAGCTCCCTGCTGCAGCTAGAATGTCATTTTACATGGACTTTGCTGAAGCAGGATGTGGATCTCGATGATGTAGAGGAAACAATAGGCAACCAGATCGAGTTTTTCGTAAAATCCAACATCATAATCTATTATCCTATATATGCCACCTAAAGAATTCAAACAAGCTGAAGAAGAAGTTAAAAAAAAATATCCAGATGAAGTTGCCAGAAGTCTTGTTACCTGGGGGAACTATGCCTGCATCTATTACCACATGGAGAGATATAAAGAAGCTCAAACTTATGTAAACAAAGTGGAAAACAGCTACAAAAAGCTTTCAAGTGCTGCTCAGTGGAAGATTCAGCTTCCAGAGATCTATGCTGAGCAAGGATGGGCATTATTAAAGTTTGGCGGAAAGTACTACAAGAGAGCAAAGAATTGCTTTGAAAATGTCCTGAAGAATGAACCCAATAACCCGGAATTTAATGCTGGCTATGCAACAGCAATGTATCATTTGGAACAGGTTTCTCACAGACAACGCGAAGACTTAAGCCCCGTCCCTTGAGCCCCTGAAGCGTGCAGTGGAAGGAACTGAATCCAGAGGATACTATCATTATGGCATTACTTGCATTAAAACTTCAGGACTTAAAGCAAGTTGATGAAGGGGAGAAGTACATTGAAGAAGCAATGGAGAAAACCCCTGATCTTCCTTATTTCCTGCGGTATGCCGCTAAATTTTACAGAAGGAGAGAAGAAGCCGACAAGGCACTGGAGATTTTGAAAAAATGGCCCTAGCAGTGACACCAAAATCTGCCTTTTTGCACCACCAGGTAGGACTCTGCTACAGAGCAAAGCTGTTTCATTTGAAAAAGACTACAAGATATCCACCTCAAGAGCAAGTGGAGGAACTCATCCGACTTTCCATTTTTCATTTTAAAACAGCGACTGACCAAAAGACAAATTTTTTTCTGCCTATACCGACCTAGCAAACATGTATGCACAAGGAAAGAGGTATGAAGAAGCAGAAGAGACATTTCAGAAAGCATTTCAGATAAATATTCTATCCTATGATGATAAACAAGAACTCTACTACCATTATGGCAATTTTCAGCTTTTTCATATGAAATCAGAATCTGAAGCCATTAGGTATTACATAGAAGGTCTGAAAATTGAAAAAGATTCTATTGGAAGAAATAAGTGCAGAAATGCTCTGGAGAAATTGTTGGAACAGAGAATTCAGAGAGGTTTAGGAGATGCAACAGATTTTGGTACACTTGGACTTGTTTATAATCTAAACGGTGACAAACATGAAGCAATTGAGTGCTATGAGAAAGCCGTTGCATTGTGTCCGGACAATGAAGAATACCTGAGTGCACTGTGTGAGCTACGACTTTCCATCTCAACCTAAAGCTCCCAAAAATCCTTCACACCAAAAAAAAAAACCAAACCCAAGGACATTTCAACAGACTCTCAAAACTTTTTTTTTTTTTTTTTTTTAAGGTTGAAGTTATAACCAGATGAAACATCTGGTGGCATCATGTTCTGGTGATAATGTAGAAACTGCAGAGGATGATTCTTCATTTGGTTGTTCATTCACCAAACGAGAGCATGCTTGGAAAGACTAAATAATAGCAAAGCTATCTTAGTCTTCAATGCTAACGCTGGTATAAAGGCTGTGTTTAAGTGATTATCTGTAGAACACAGAACTTCTAAGCTGGAAATCAGATCTTACCTTCTACTGAGAAAAAGATAAGGGAATCATATTGTAGTATTTCATCTATCCACTTGAAAGGCATGCTTATACATAAATGGAATTTCTGATGCTTTTTCAAATATTTTTAAAAATGTCTTTTTTTTAGTGTTATTTAGAAGAAACTTTTGTTGAAGACTTGTTCAGTTTACTACCTTGTATGTTGTTTAACTATGAAAAATAACCACTATTTGGCTAGTTCACTGGAAAGCTTACAAAAGGTGTATTATTGTTGTGAACTATTAAAAAGCATTGCATCCATCAATTACTGTTTCTGATATCTCTCTGCTGACCAATCCTCATGTTAACAGATGAAAGAAAGGGAAATGGCCATTCGAAAAAGTAACAGGGATAAAGTTTTGGCAAGATATGAAAGGGTCAGGAGATAGCCCGTTTATTTTCCTGAACTCTCAGCAAAGCTGGCTTCAGAGGTGTTGCACCAAAGAATTAAACTGTGCACAAAACAACATCCATCTGGTTTACCCAAAACCACACTCTCAGGAACTGCTACAGCAAACACCTGGAGAGGAAGGAAAGGCAGTCTTTGAGATGCCAAAGAGATGGCTATGTGCGGCCATGCTTGTGAAACAAGCCAGGGATAGAAAACACACACAAGAAATATACTGAACTGGACGTGGGAAAAGGGGTGGCTGCCCAAGAGTCTATGTGAATGGAAGGGCGGGCTGAAAGGACAGAGAGTGGGTGGAAGAGGTGAATGTCTTCAGATGTCCAACTATTCTTTACAACAGGCTAGACTCATTCCACAGTATGGTACCCTGGTATAATAGATCATGGTGCTCGGGAAAACTAACGCTGTACTTCCAAAACACTTCTGAGCCCTAGCCAGTAGCACAGAATGAAGCAAACTGGTGACAGAGCCCATCAGGAAGGATGGGCACTTTTGTTTCCAGCCATCTTGGAGCATTCCTGCCCCCACAACAACAGTCCCACGTACAGACAGGATGACAGGCCTGAAGGAGTGTAAAATATGATGCCAGATCATGAAACATCAAGAAAACTCTCCCCTCTCAGCTCTCCTTCAAAGAATCTCTCACAATACAAGCAAAAGTGATCAGGAGCTTAACAGCGTACATAATACAACCACACCTTCTTCCTAAGAAAGGGCTGGGGCAAAATCTTGTTTTCCAGCCGCCTGCCAGCTTCTCTCTTACAAACAAAGGTGGCCCTACCT